AACGAGGAGAAATAGAAAAGAAAAATATTGCAGCCAAAGTTTTGGCGAGATTTTGTTGTTTGTGTGCAACAATTGTTGCAAGTCAGTTGGTGGCGCTAATGAAAAACGACAGGAGTTCAGGGGGAGGTGGAGACATAGTTCCAGGGGAAAAGACAAGTAGGAAAAAGCTACTGCCATTAAATGTTGCTTAATAAAGTTGCAGCTGCTTCACAAGCAAGAGAAAAAACAAGTAACGAAAAAAACTGCCAAGCATCAGCACTTAATTGTTTGAACAGTCCAAAGGAAGGAGCGGAATTGGTAGCATCCCCTTTTAACTCCTTCCTCATGTTTCATAGGATACAAATATATATATATGTATATATCCAACACCTGGAGGCAGTTCTCAATCTTAGTTCTCCCCCTTGATGTCTTGATGATGTCTTTCCGTACGCTCAAATTGAGTTAATTAAATGAAGGCAGGCAGGTGGGGCGATGGGGTATATATGTATATAAATATATTTTCACCTGGCGCGAATGGAATTAATGAGCATAATGGGCGGGAATCTCAGCCAAACTTAAATGGCGGTTTGGAAGAAAGTTTGCAATTACCGAGCATTTATTTTTGTTAAATTCTAATTAATGCAAAACAAAGAAAATCTCACAAGGAGGCGGGACGTTGAAAAATCTTCGCTTTTACTGGACCGACTGCACTTTAGTTTTTCTTCTGCTTCGTCAGCTTTTAAATCATTTAAATTTTCCGCACGCATAAATAAATATTGACTTTTGTGGCAGGCAAAAGGAAAAGTCGAAGAAAAACCGAAGTCTGAGGCTGTGCGGCGGCAAATAAATATGCAAATTCTTTGACTTTTGTTTTCAATTAACTTGGTTTTTTTTTTGCCGCTTCCGTTGTTGCCTTCTCGGGTTTTCTTTTACGATTTTCCTGTCTTTGCATTCGCGTTTTACATTTCTTTCTAGTCACACAGAGGAAAAAACGCAAGATTTTTTCTTGTAATGAATGGGAAGTTGTTACTTTGATTTATTTTTCAATAACCTTATTTTTTCCTGTGCAAAAAGAAAGGTAAAAATAAACTTTAGAAAAGGTCTTCTTCTATTTCGGCCGGCAAATTAAGCAAATTTGTTACATTTTGTGGTCCTGCTTTTCGCACATCTTCCCCCCCCTTGTGGTTTATGGTCCTGCTGACATTTTGAGTAGTTTTTAATGGTCTCCATCGAACCCAACAACAAACTTGTCGACTTTCCTCGCTGCGGGGCGTTCCAAGGAAAAGAGGAAAATGTCCTTTCTTACTCTGGCCAGCTGGCACACACATGCGTGTGTATATTTGGGTTCCCTGGGTTTTTCTCCCTCATGAAATATGCTCCCTTAAACCGCAAAACTTGGCCTATTCTTGGGGAGAAGTTCCCTCTTTCGGATGAAAAGAAGTCCTGGAAACATTCATTAAACCCATTTATGGTCACTGCAGGCAGCGCTGTTCAGAGTTGTAATGACCAGCTTTAAGTCTTTGAATATGACTTGACTTGTGCACTAAGTTTGCATTATGCCCGAGGAAACCCTTTCAAGTCGTTGGCCACTAACTGGGATTTGCAATCCCCCGTAATGTTCCATCTTGGCAGAAAGGTAGTGAAATGCAATTTTCCACACGACTGGCACAGAGTCTAAAGGAAGGGAAAAAATATATAAAAATAGAGAGTGAAATTTGCATAAATTCCCAGCACATATTGACTTTAAGCTAAGGTAGGTGCCTTGTGGATCGGCGGGGGTGCGGATTATGTCACGGCTTAATTCAATTAGGGCAGATTACGTATACGCCACGTGGCGTATGACCCAAAAGGTCAATGCTACATCTAAATTTTTAAGACGCTCCACAACAAGTCAACTACCTTTTGTGCTGGGAAGCAATCCGCAAACAAATCCTTGATTTATGCGCACATCCTTGGGCAGCCAAAGCCAAACATTTATTTCCTTATCCACTTGTGCCAATGTGATTTCTCGACCCATCCTTAAGAACCTCTGTATGCCATGGACTCTGGTCAGCAATCAAGGCGAGTAAACGAATGGACTACAGTGGTTATTGGTCAAAAAGGGTTAAGAGTTGGTATAAAATTACAATTTAAAATTTAGATGTGTACATTTTCTTTTTAAAATAGTTTTGTTTAAGTTGTAAAGGAAGTTTCTTAACTGGAAACTATATTATAAAATAGAAACTATATTAATCCTGAAGATATCTGTCAGGTATTAATTTGGAACTCATATTTATTTCATACAAATATTATATTTGATTTGTGTAAATCCCTTACCGATCAGTAAAAGGATTCAACTTATTTATGTGTCGCTGCACCTGTTCCTGTTCCTGTTCTTGGTCCTTTTCCTATTCCAATTCCAATTCCTGTTCCTTCCTTTTGGGCAACTCTCAGTTCGTGCACTGCGTTGATGATGATTTACTGTTGTGTTGCTGCAAGGATTTGAACGTGTACTCGAGCGTGTCTGAGCACGCATTGTGTGTGTGCATCCTGTGTGCATCCGACATCCTTCGAATCCTTAGCATCCGTGCTTGGTCAAACCCGCTTGATACATAACCTTGAATGCGGTTTTGATGTTTGTCTTGCATTCGACTCGAGTCTGGGCTCATCCTGCATCCTGCATCCTACATCCTCTCTGCTCTGTTTGATTATTTGTACAAATGGCCAGTGGAGCTACCATCGTCCTGCCATGTCCTGGCAATTCCACTGCCATGGCCATTGCCATTGCCATGCGAAAAGCGGATTGCATTCGTGTTCATAAATTGTGAAAGCAGCAGCAGCAATGGCAGCCAAGGAATGTTGCTAAAAAATTGCTGATAAATGATCTTTGCTGCCGCGCGTAGATATTTTAATATTTTTTTCCGTCTCAAGCTCAAGCTCAAATGCCGGGGCTAAAGTCCGGGAAAAGTCCTTGGCTGAGGGCAAATCAAGTTCACTGCTGCAGCTGCCTCCAATGGCTTTTCCTGCTTTTCCTACTGCTGCTGCTTCTGGTGCTCCTTTTCTGTCTGCTCACTTTGCTAATTCCACATAAACACTGCCAAATGGCAAATCGTCTGAGCTTGGAGTCGGTGTTGTGAGTTTAGTTACAGTCTAGCTGAAGTTTGGAATGGTTTTTAATAAGATATTTAAGTCTGTCAAAAGCGGAAAATTATATATTATATAAAATTACCTGATTTAGTACTCCCCCAACAATATTAATATTTAAGTCCAAGGAATGTTGACCTATTAAGTATAAAACATCTTAATTAAACACATCTTTACCTATTTTTAATTCACTTCCTGACAACACTAAGCCAGTCATAGCTTGGTTACTTTTCCATAGCATACTTTCTGGGGACAGGATTTGATGGCTGCTTCACATATGTATGCTGTCCCTTGCTGGCATCAATCTTGCTGAGCTGTCATCAAATCTCTAGAATTTGGGCTCGTCCTTTAAGATTGTTGTCTTATTAATGATCCCGCATAATTACCCCGCCTCGTATCCTTGCTATTTTCTGTCCGTAGAAGTCTGAATACATGACCAGTCTAAGCCAAGCCAAGAAATGAGAAAAGAAAAACTAATTTTCTGCTGCTGATTTCGAATTAAACTGAATGAATAAATGAAGGAAGCTAGGCTACAGTGCGTTTCGTGTGATTATAACCAAGTATACTTAATTAAATTGTTTTAGTTTATGTAACTATACTAATGATATATTTTAGATAGCTCTATAATCTTTTCAATTATTGTTCTATGAACCATATAACATTATTTTTGGTGACTTTTATTTATGAAACCTTCTGTTATTGCAATTGTGGTTTAATTGTTACAAAGGTCGCATGGTTCTTTCAAAGTTAAGTAATTTCATTAATTCTTGACTTACCTTATGCAAATGTATTATTATTTGTGTTGTCCTTAACGTTATATGACCCTCTTTGTGCACCTGTGACCCCATGCAATTGGCCTAATCCAAATTTGCTGGACTTGAGCTGGCAAAGCATCCATGAATTTCAATTGCTTTACCGAAATTCCTATGAATTTTCATCATTTATTAATGTTCTTGTCGCTGCCAGTGGCGTCCATAAAAATTTGATTGAAAGTCGTGGCAGATAAAAGCTTTACCTTGACTTTCTGCTGTGTGTGTGTGTGGTTGGTCCTTTATATTTATTTTATTCCGTTCGTTTTCGTTTTCTTTTTTTAGGAGGCGCTTTTAATTAAAATCGAGTTTATGTGGCGTCCTCGTTGAGCCAAATTACTTGGCAACGTTTTCCTTTTGCCCTCCTGCCTCTCTAAGGCTAAAAGCAGGCAAAGTCTCAATCAAATGCCTAAGACCCTCCTGCCACGCCCACAACATTTTTGGCCTTCATTTGCCAGGCAGCTAGATGCTATTATTTAATTTTTATGCCCCAGCGCTTTTGGCGCCGTAATTTGAGACTTGACAATTTGCCAACCAGCTCAGAGATACACTGAAAAGGAATTTGCATATTAAAATAATAATAACAGTAGTGGTTTTTGAAGTTCTTTGTGATCTAAGATATTTTCTTAAAGTGCAAACTGATATTTAAAATAGGAAATATAATATCCTTATTTTATCTAGACTACTTTGACCTTTAGTTTTTAATTTCTCCTGTGTATCCTTGTTCAAAGTGGGATGAAAACTCCCCACTGGTTACCATAATGATACTCCCAGGCCATCTTTTAAAACAAAATATCTCTTCCCATCTCTCAATGTATAAGGTTATATCTGGTTCAAGAGCTCCGTGCTTCGATTATGACACATTTAGTGGGCGGTCTTTTGGTTAACCACAGAAATTTTATTTATTGTTTTTCTGTCTCAGTTGTGGTTACTTGGCGATTGTAATTTGATTTTCCTGCCAAGAGCGCGAACCCTATAACTAAAACTAGAACTTGAACCACATTTTCCTGAGGGCTTCTTCATTATTTTTATGAAATTATAATTAAATCATTATTATTATTATTAATTATTCATTTAATATCTTTGCAGTGCTTAGCAAGGGACAAGGAGAGACCTGTCGGTACCGATTTCTGGGAAAATATGGCGGCTATTGTTGGATTGTTAGCCAGGCCACGATCGTCTATGATAAATTAAAGCCACAGAGCGTCGTTTGTGTTAATTACGTGATAAGGTGAGTCATTTTCTGATAAATATATATATTTTCTTAATATTTAATGGGGTCCCCAAAGAGTCTGAATTGAGCTGGAATAAGGGTGGTATTTTTTGAGAAGGGGAAACAATGCCGGATATTTGCTCATTACATTTTATCTTTTAATTAAGCCGCTAAGCGGAAAGTGAAAATTCTTTTCTTCTCTTTTTTCCCCGCTTTTCCTTGCTACCCATTATTAATCGACTGAATTTAATTTTCTCCTCTCCACCCCCCCTTTTTGGAAATATATATTCGAATTGCCTTGAAATGGGGAGGGGGCGGGTGTGCTGCGTGTGCTCGACATTTGCATAAAGAATTCTCGCCTCAGTTGGCACTTTATGTAAGATTTTCTTTCTCTCCTCCCCATCGATTTGGTTTTCTAATCCGTCATTTATTGTCGGTCTGGGCTTTGGCCCAGATTTTTCTCTCCTTTTCCAATTTGATAACAGCCACAAATTAGCATCCCGCAATTGAATTTCCTTCAAAAATTTCCATATTCATAAATCGATTCGATATATTTTTGTTCCGTTTTCTTGGGCTCGTTCTTTTTTCCAATTCGTGTTTGCTCTATAATGGCATTTATTTTTTATGAATGTGCGTGAGTCCACGTGCGGGTCAACAATGAATAATAAATTAACATATTAGATGATGATGATGACACTCCCCAATCTCCCCAATTTCTCATTTTCAGCTCGACTGGTAAGTACCCCTCACGAATTTGTATTTACTTAATTTAAGCGTATATGAGCAAATATTTGTGCATTGTTTCCTTGTTGTTTTATTTTGTTTGAATTTCACACTTGCCTGAACAGCAGAAAAAAAGGTAATAATGAATGAGACTGGTTCTGGTACATCCTACTTGGGTTTTTGATTGTTTTACCAAAAAAATACAAATTCATTTTTAATTGTAGTCCCCTTTTTTGTGTGTGGTTAAAGCCTCGTGTCGGTTTCATATAAATTTTGTTAATTCGCTAGCTCATGGGAATCAGCATCATCAGCCAAAAACACACTTTCACTTGGTTAAAATGTATTTTTGACGACATGCCTTCGTTTTTATACAGAGAGAAAAGGGGGAAATTTCAATGATTTTATGATATTTTCTGCACGAAGAAAAGTGGTGTCTACCTTTGAACAAAATGCAAAGAACAATGTATTTCATATAGAAATATTTGGCATATTGTTTTAAATAGTTTGAGCATAAGTATAGTAATGTTAAACACACTAAACACAAATCACTTCCTAAAATAAATCCCTCTATCGTAAAGAAATATATTATATATATTTCTCACAGTAAAAGAAACCTAAGAGTTACAAAATTACCATAAATTCCATTCATGTTTACTTTAAAACCTTGAATAATTTATGTGTCAAATTGGTACATTTGAGATCCCTTAAACTTCTACACTTTCTGACAAATTTCTTTATGTGTACCCCTTATTTTATCCCCTCCTCACCCGCACATGATGACGAGTGCATTGATGCGGTTCAAATGAATGCTGGCAATTTGCTTTTAATTCACACAACATGTGATTAGCCTCCCCCATAACATATTCCTCTCTCATGTTCTTTAACTGCGTCAATCAACTTGATTCAATTGTTCAATTCTTGATTAAACTTCCTACAAATCGATTGTGTAAGTACGCAATGTACCATAAAAAAGGGATAGAGAAGGAATAAATAAATTAAATATGAGGGTGTACGGGAAATTATCAAACATTTAAAAGATGTATGATTTACATTGAATAAATAAGGTAGATTATTTAATATCTCTATGACTTCTCTAATATTTCCCTCTATGAATACCCTGTAAGTGTGTCATGAAGTCGTCTATTTTCTCTGTATTATTCGCTATCCCACTTCCACTTGTGTGCATTTAAATGCAACAAATGTTTGCTTTGTAGTTGCTGCTTTTGTAATTTTATTTTTGCTTAATTGAATAAAAACAATATACACAAGCAGAGAGAAACAGAGAGAGACAAAGCAGCGCCTTTGTCACAGTGCCAACTCTACAGAATCTCTTTGAACTTTGTTTACCTTTTCTCAATTCTCTCACTTTGTTATATAGTTGATGTTTGGATTTACTCTGAGACTTGGCCTGATTTATAACTCTTTGATAACAGTCAGTGATAAGTGACACAAACAAAAATACTTTCCATATAATAGAAGCCATGATAAGGACTTCAGAGATTATAGTTTTTATAACTGAGAGATGTGTTTTAAATATTAAGTACATATATATTTAAGTATATAAATCTTCTTCCTTGTTTTAAAATTCTATTTAACGTTTTTAGACTTGGAAAACTTATTCAAATTTTCCCTGTTCAGGTGGAAAACGGATTAGATCAGCAATTGTAAACTTTCCTCTCTCTCTCTCTCCCCTAATGAGATTGTCACTCAGTTGGCAGCTGGCTCAAGGTCGCTTATCTTTTGGGAGCGGTGCAATCTGTTTCAGATGCGTAATTGCCGCCTGCATATTTATAGATTCTTTACATTTTCTTCTTCGAGAGAAGCCAAGAAGAAAATAGCGGCAAATAACTTTTGCACATTTCCCACGCCAATCCAATTAACATTGATTAGTTGATGTACCGCCAGGCTTTAAGCTTTTGGGGAAATTTACATTTTTTATAGCTTGCCTTTGCATAATTCCAGCCACGCGTTGCTTTTAATTACCAAATTTTCGTTGTACTCTGTCGCCTTGTAGAAGGTTTTTCCGAGATGCTGCTGCTGCTTGCTTTTCCTTGATTTATCGTACTTGACAGAGCCTTCGGCTGGAATCCTTTCAGCCTGCTGCTGTTGGCCTCTTCCTCTCTCTCTCTCCAAAACTTTTTAGCCCTAATGGAATTTACACGAGTTCTTAACACTTTCCCTGAAAGTTTCCCCGGGTTTTCCCCTGGCTTGTCCTGGGCTTAGGACGCCATTTTGTGGCCGGGCAACGACTAAAAATTAAAACAATAAATTAAGGGCCAGCAGTTGGGGTATAAAAATTATTCCAGTGCCTAAAACGTGTTGCATATTTTGAAGCAATAAAACTTGGTTTCATTATGATTGCCCGACCTGCCATAAAATGAACTGCGAATCGCCTCGATGACTTTAAAAAAGCGAATTAAAGAGTGATCCTTTGTATTGCCATTCTCATCCCTTGTCCTCCATTATTCATGCGACCTTTTATTTGGCAGGAAATTCCATTTGCCAGACCGCAGCATAAATATTTCATATACACATGCTCTAATCGGATTATTGACGGCTTTCTCAGAGAAAGGGGGAAAGGGTTCTCTAAGTTTATACAAGGTCTTGTCCCACTCCAAGTTTTCCTTTTCATTTTCCTCTTTACCTTTTTCTGTTTT